ATACATATTTATTAGTATAGCAGTACATGTGCAAATATAAGTAAATATATAGAAATTGGGGAGTACGTGCTCAAAGATGCCATTAACAAATATTTATTAAGCATCTACTGTTTGTCAGGCTCTGTGCTGTTTTAGTGTTAGGGATGTATAATCAAAAAGTCCAGAGACCACTTCTCTAACGAGCTCCTAGGAGTCTGTCTGATTATAGTCAGAGTCCCAGGGGAAAGAGAAATGGTAGGAGTCTGATAGGTAGGGTGCCGTGAGACTTGAGAAAGAGGTGACTGTCTGGCTGTACTGCTTTCATATTCAACAAGTCTCACTTTGGTCAACTTTAGGCGGAGTCTTCTTGGCCCACTATTCAGTATGACTCATCATCCTTATTATCCTCATTACCATAATCATTATCTTTATTACCAGGAAAAGAATGGAGCAAGCAGAAATTAATCTGTGAAATTTGAACCAGCCTAGCCCTGTTCACCTGAATGATGCCAACTGGGCTCTCTCTAGTTCCCATCCCTGAAGCTTAGAACCCTTTGGCTTTCATGCATAAATTGCACTCCTCAATTTGCTTTTTATTCAGTGACATGATCACATCACCATTCTTTTTTTAAAGTCCTGACTTTGAGAACCAGGCTTAGCTAACGTCATCTCGGCTTCAGTTGTTGATAGCTCCCCACCTCTGCTAATACTCCATATATCGGAAACAGCTGAATTCACAGATGGCGGACAAGAGCTCGATGCCAATTTAACAGATTATTACACCCAAAGTTTGCTGATTCCTTGAATTAAAATTTGCTGCTTGTCAGTTGGGAGAAGGAAAAAAAAATCATCACTGGCTCAAACCAGCCCCTTTGCAGAATATATTTTGCAAGCCTACATCAGACTGACTGATTTTTGATTAGGTCATAACCCTTTATGATCCCAGCCACCCTTGAACTGGAGCTTACTATTTCAGGAAAACAAGTAAATTTGCAGACTAAGTAGTATTAACTTTGTAGAGCATGGTGTCAGCAATTAAATGCAAAGCTCCTCAACTGTCCTTAGTGAAGTTCTGCATGCCATACAAAATCTTCTAATATTATCTGCCAGAAGCTCATTCCCATCCTAGAGGGTTCCCTCTAAGCTAAGTCCATTGATTTTGCCTTAGGAAACTATATGAACTCTGAGACCTCTTCCAATGGTAAGGTCCTAGGGTTCCATGACGTCAAAGTGAATTATATATAGTTGGGTGTTATCAGAATACTAGTAGTCATTACTGTCAAGTATAGGCCTTACTCTGCAATGTGCTCTCAGCAAAACCCTTGATCTCCAGAATGCTTTCTTCCATTTTGGTAACCTTATTTAGAAAAACAGGCAAATGTACATAGAGGAATTTCTTTTTAGCATGTAAAAAATAACATTTATTTATGAAAATTTTGAGTTCCAAATTCTCTTCTTCTTCCCCCTCCCCCACACATTGAGAATGCAAGCAATATGCTATTAATTATACCTGTAAAGTCTCAACATAAATAAACCAAGAAAAATAAAATGCAAAAAAGTATTCTTCAATCTGCACTTAGAGTTCATCAGTTCTCTCTCTCTGAAGATGGACAGCATTTTTCATCATGGATCCTTTCTTGGATCATCTTCATCAGAGTACCTAAGGTCTTTCACAGCTGATCATCCTTACGGTATTGTTGTTACTGCCTGTAATGTTCTCCTGTTTCTACTCACTTCACTTTGCATTAGTTCATGTAAGTGTTCCTAGGTGTTGTTGTTGTTGTTGTTGTTGTTGTTGTTGTTGTTTTAAACCATCCTGTTATCATTTCTCATAGTATAATTGTACTCCATCACAATCATATACAATTTATTCAGACATTCCCCGGTTGGTAAGCATCCCCTCAATTTCTAATTCTTTGCCACAACAAAAAGAGTTGCTATAAATAATTTTGTACAAATACACTTTTCTTCGATCTGTTTGGCATACAGACTTAATAGTGTTATTGCTGGGTCAAAGGGAATGCATGATTTCTTAGGCCTTTGGGTATAGTTCCAAATTGTTCTCCAGAGTAGGTGGACTGGTTCACACATCCACCAATAGTAGATTAGTATCCCTGTTTTTCCACATCCTCTCCAATATTTGTTATTTTTCTTTTCTATCCCACTGCTGGCATTTCATCCACATGAGCTCTGGGCCAGTCTTCACCCCAATTTCACAGATCTCTCCTTCCAACTTCCTAAGTTGTTTTGGGCTGGAAGAACATCTCACTCTGATCTTTTGTTGTCTCTTTGACTTCAGAATTTTACTTGAAGCATTATTTTACAGTTATTTGGAGTGGAATGTTGGGAGAGCCTGCTGAGTACTTTTCTCTACTCTGTCATCTTGGGTCTACCCAACCATCATCCCTAAAGAAGATTTTTTTAAAATTTTATTTATTTTATTTTTAATTTATGGAATAAAACAAGTATTTCCACAACATAGTATTTTTAAAACATGATTTGGAGAGAAGACAAAGAGATGATGACTAGAAATCTTATGCCTAAAAAAAGGTTATGGAATATTTCTTAGAAAAAAATGCAAGGTTGTTCTCTAAGTACTTTATATTTGATATATAGAAAAATGTAACGTAAAGTACATGCAAATAACTTTTACTGTGTATTTGAAACAGGTGCTAGAGAAGATTGATGGATGAAAGTTATAGGGAGGCAGAATGAAGTTCAATATAAGAAAAAACTTTGTTCTATACATAAGTCTATTTATCAGTTCTTTTATACTTTGGCCCCCTCCTACCTTTCCATTACTTTTACACTTTATTTGTCCCATACCTCTGTGGTCCAATGACACTGACTTCTTCACATAAGGCATGTTATCTCTCAACTCTAGACATTTTTACTGTCTGTCCCCCAGAATTCTCTCCTTCCTCATCTCTACCTGGCTTCCTTCAAGCCTCGACTAAAATTCATTTTCTATGAGAAGCCCTTCCTGATTCCCCTTAATACCTCTCCCTTCCCTGTGCTGATCATTTCCAAGTTATCCTCTCTACATGTATCTTGTTCACACATAGTTGTTTTCATGATGTCTTCACCATGAGAGAGTAAGCTCCTTGAGAGCATGTGCTATCTTTTGCCTTTCTTTGTATCCTAGGACTTAGCACAGTGCGTGGCACATAGAAGACAATAAATGCTCATTGACTAATCCATAAAATGGTGGTGCTAATGTTTGTGGTACCCACGTCACAGAGGCTATAAGAATTAGAGGAAATAACACACTTTGCAAACCCTAAAGCTCCAGGCAAATGTCAGTTACCACTATCTCAGAGTGAGAAGGGTCATTTTATTTGGACTTTAGACTCAACCTTGTCCACTGCATTCCTGACAAATGGCCTTCCAATCTCTAAGTGAAGACTGACAGTGATAGGCAACTCATTCCTCATAGTTCATTCATCTTTTATACGCTTCCTATCTACTGTACCATCTAGCTGCTCCCTGAAAAAAAATTAAGATACTTCATCTCCTGACTGTATATTGTCACTGTGTGTTGTCCCCCATGCCAAGAATTCTCTCTGCCTGGATTTCTGCTTCTTGGCTTCCCTGGCTTCTTTGAAGTTCCAGCTAAAATCTCACCTTTTATAGGAAGCCTTTTCAGATTCCCCTCAACACCAGACCCTTCCATTCATTAATTGTCTCAATATATTCCTGTGTTCATCTTGTTCGTACACAGTTGTTTACATATTTACTCCCCCATAAGAGTTTGAGCTTCTTGTGAACACAGGCTCTGGTTTTTTTTGTTTGTTTTGTTTTGTTTTGTTTTTTGTTTGTTTGTTTGTTTGTTTTTGATTTTGTATCTCCAGGGCTTAGCATAGTGCCTGGAGTATAGGAGGCAGACAATTAATGAACGTTTATTGACTGACTAGTTTAGAGAGAGAAAATAATAAAGTTTCCCCTTGACCCAGTGTGTGTCCTCATACTTCTCTCCACATCAAAACAATTTGGGACACTATTTATAGGAATCTTAAACAAAGATACAGTTAAAACATGTTCCAAAACAGTTTTAGGAGTCAATATTCTAGAATGACTGACAAAATAACTATTTCTCCTAAAGTAATCAAAGGGGACATCCCAGTGATCCATATCTAGTCTTTTCTGAACAGGAAAGAGGATACTGCTTTGAAACCAATCACTTCAGGGGATGGGAAAGCCAATGATCTCGACTAGACAACATACTTTTTTGTTCTAATTTGGTTATGGCCACGAATCCATCTTCCTGAGACCTTAACTTTCATTCTCAACTTCTTATACACTTCCTAAGGCAAAAAGCCTGGAAAGGATTTTAGGCTGGAGAAATATTGTTTCTTATTATTTCCAATTGTGCTAAAAATCTAGTAGAGGGCAAGGGGTTAATATATTTCCATGGCTGTTAAAATGATCCACCTTGAGGTAATGAAAAACATATCTCTACGTACAAGGAAGACTAGAGAGAAAGGAGCAGCTATGAAAGACACGTCAATACAATTGACTGGATTTACTGACTACGTACGACAGATAAGTCAAAGGTTGGAGTGTATGTGACAGTGAGAACAATAGAACTACTAACAGTAAAGTTGGGAAGGATAGTTCATTTTAGGGAAAAGATGATAGGTCTAGTCTGGTTCATAATGAGTTTGTGGTGAATAGGAGGCACAACAGCAGACTAGAACTCAAAAGAAAAGATAGTATCAGGAGTATATTTGTTATTTATCAGCATAAAAGTACGATTTGAAACACCAGGGATTAAATCATGTTTTGTTTCTGTTTTTGTTTTTGTTTTTTAGGCAATTGGGGTTAAATGACTTGCCCAGGGTCATACAGCTAGTTAACTGTGTGTCAAGTGTTTGGTCTGAGGTTGGATTTTGAACTCAGGACCGCCTGACTTCAGGGCCTGTACTCTATCCACTGGGTCATCTAGATGCCCCAATTTAATTATGTTTTCCCCCTGAATTTGATGGCTGTGATTATGAATTAGGGGTTTGTTTTCCTTACAGTGCTGTCATATTCTTGTTTGTAAAAAGTGAAGTACCAAGTTCGACAAGTTCCTTGGACACCACACCATTACTAACTGAACGCGTAAGTTTGGCATATGTTACTGCCAGAGAATACTTCATTTATAAAGTCAAAGTTAGCCCAAAGGAAGAAGTAGAGATTGAAATTTTACAGATATATTGTGTGTGGGGACGTGGGGTAAATTTCAGAGCTAAAGAAAATATTTCAGTATATATTTGTAATGGCTAAAGGCTAGCACAGAAAATCATACAGTTATTAGCAAAATTGATTAATTTGAGGTATTGAAAGCTGTTCTACCATGAACATTAATAATATCTCCTTATATTTATGTTTTTCTGAAAAGTGTTATTCCTTAAAGATATCAGCTAAGAGTAGGCTCTTTTTTAAGTTTAATACTATTTTATTTTTCCCCAGTTACATGTCAAATTTTTAGCATTCATTTTTTACAAGTTTTTGAGTTCCAAATTTTTCTCTCTCCCTCCCTCCCCTCTCCTCTTCTTAAAATGGTACATAGTTTGATATGATTTATACGTGTGCTATCATGTAAAAAATATTTCCATATTAGTCATAGTTGTGAAAGAAGAAACAGATCAAAGGAAAAAGGACATGAGAAAGAATAAAGTAAGTAAAAAAAATGCTTCAATCTGCATTCTAATTCCATCAGTTCTTTATCTAGATATGGATAGCATTTTCTTTCATGAGTCCTTTGTACTTGTCTTGAATCATTGTGTTGTTGAGAAGAGCTGAGTCATTCATAGTTGATCATCACGTGATGTTGCTGATACTATGTACAATGCTTCTCTGGTTCTGTTCATTTCACTTTACATCAGTTCATTCAAGTCTTTCCACAGTTTTCTGAAACCTGCCTGTTCATCATTCATTACTGCATAATAACATTCTATTATATTCATATACCACAGCTTGTTCATCCATTCTCCAATTGATGGGCTTCTCCTTAACTTCTAATATTTTGCCACGCAAAAACAGCTGCTATAAATATTTTTGCACATGTAGGTCCTTTTCCCTTTTTAATGATTCCTTTCGGATACAGACCTACTAGTGGTATTTCTGGGTCAAAGGTATGCACAGTTTGGTTGCCCTTTGGGCATAGATCCAAATTGCTCTCCAAAATGGTTGGATCAGTTCACAACTCCACCAACAATGAGTGCATCAGTGCCCCAGTACCTCAGAATTGTTCAATTTGCATTTCTCTAAATAAAAGTGATTTAGAGCACTTCTTCATATGCCTCTAGATAGCTTTAATTTCTTCAAGTGAAAACTGCCTGCTCATATCCTTTGACCAATTATCAATTGGGGAATGGCTTGTATTCTTGTAGATTTGATTAAGTTCTCTATATATTTGAGAAATGAGGCTTTTATCAGAGACCCTTGATATAAAAACTATTTCCCAGCTTTCTGCTTTCCTTCTAATCTTGGTTGCAATGGTTTTGGTACAAAAACTTTTTCACTTAATATGAAATAATCTATTGTACATTTTGTAAGGCAATAGCCTTGTTTGGTCATGAATTCTTCCCCTCCCCATAGATATGACAGGTAGACTATTTCTTATTCTTCTAATTTACTTATGGTGTCACCCTTTATGTCTAAACCATGCCAAAGATCTGTCATATCTAGCTTTTTAAATATTCTATTTACTTCCTTAGTTTCTGAGAGGGGATAGTTGAAGTTCCCCACTACTATAGTTTTATTGTCTATTTCTTCCTGTAACTCACTTAACTTCTCCTTTAAGAATTTAAATGCTATACCACTTGGTACATATATGTTTAGTTATTTTTATTGCCTTATTGTCCATGGTATCTTTTAGCAAGATGTAGATTACTTACTTATCTCTTTTAATTAGGTCTATATTTGATTTTACTTTGTCTAAGAACGAGATTGCTACCCGTTTGTTTGTTTGTTTGTTTGTTTTTACTTCAGCTGAAACATAATAGATTCTGCTCCAGCCCCTTACCTTTACTCTGTGTGTCTCTCTGCTTCAAGTATGTTTCTTGTAAACAATATATTTTTGATCTACTCTGCAATCTGCTTCCATTTTATGAGAGAGTTCATCCCATTCATCTTATAGATGTGATTACTATCTGTGTATTTTCCTCCATCCTACTCTTCCTCCTATCTCTCCTTTCTCTTCTCTCACCCTTTCCCTCCTCACCAGGGTTTTGCTTCTGTCTACCACCTTGCCTGATCTGATCTCTCTTCCATCAGTCCACATTACATTCCCTTTACTTGACCTCCTTCCCTCCTTCATCCTTGTCAGATAAGATAGATTTCTATTCAACCAATTGTATATATGATTACCTCTCTGAGCCATTACTGATGAGACTAAGGGTCAAGTGATGCTCATTACCCACCCTCCCATCTTTCCCTCCACTGTAATGTCTTTCACGCTTCTTCATATGAAATAATTTACACCATTCTACCTCTCCTTTCCTTCTGCAGTCAGTGTACTCCTATTTCTCATCCCTTATTTTTTTGTCATTCCCTCAAATTCATCTTATACCTATACCCTCTATGTATATTCCTTCTAGCTGTACTATTAGTGATACAATTTTTAAGAATTACAAGTATTATCTTCCCATGTAGGGATGTAAACAGTTTAGTTCTATTGAATCCCTTATGTTTTCTTTTCCCTTTTTATCTGTTTATGCTTCTCTTGGGTCTTGATACTGGAGGTCAAATTTTTGGTTTAGTTCTAATCTTCTGCTTCTGAAAGTTTGAAATCCTTATATTTCATTGAATGACCATTTTTTCCCTTGGTGTGTAGTATGCTTAATTTTGCCAGGTAAATGATCTTGGTTGTAGTCCTAGTTCCTTTGCCTTCCAGAATATCATGTTCCTTGACCTTTGATCCTTTAATGTTGAAGCAGCCAAGTCTTGTATTATCCTGATTGTGACTTCCCAATATTTTAATTGTTTCTTTCTGGCCACCTGTTGTATTTTTTCCTTGACCTGATAGTTCTGAAATTTTGCTATAATGTTCCTTGGAGTTTTTATTTTGGGATCTCTTTCCTGAGGTGATTGGTGGATTCTTTCAGTGCCTATTTTGCCCTCTGGTTCCAGGACATCAAGGCAGTTTTCCCTATTAATTTCTTGAAAGACGCTATGGTTTTTAGGTGGTCCAACAATTTTGATATTGTTTTCTGGATCTATTTTTCAGGTCAGTTGTTTTTCCCATGATGAATTTTACATTTTCTTCCACTTTTTCATTCTTTTGAATTTGTTTGATTCTTGATGTCTCTGAGAGTCATTAGCTTCCACTTGACCAATTCTAACTTTTAAGGATTTTTCTCAATTTTTCAATTTCTCAATGTTTTCCTCAATTAGCTTTTGTACTTTCTTTTCCATTTGGCTAATTGTAATCTTTAAGGAGTTGTTTTCTTCAGTGGATTTTTGTATCTCCTTTTCCATTTGGACAATTCTATTTTTTAAGCAATTTTCTGAGCTATTGACTCTTCATGATTTTCATCACTCTCATTTCTTTTCCCATTTTTCTTCTACCTCTCTTACATGATTTTTAATCTTCTTTTTAAGCTTTTCCATGAATTCTTTCTTGACCTTGGGCTTGAAAAGTCTTCCCATTTTTGTTTGGGGTTTTGCCCATAGGTATTTTGAGATTGTTGTCCTCTTCTGAGTTTGTGTCTTGGTCTTCCCTGTCACCATAATAACTTTCTATGGTCAGATTCTTTTTGTGTGTGTGTTTTCTTTGTGCATCTTTTTATTTTGGCCTTTTTCCCTTTCTTTGAAATTTGAATTCTGCATCAGGGGTGGAAGCGTCACTGTCTCAGGATTTTTGTGCCAATGGCTGCAGTCCCTGGTTGTTTTCCTGGTGCCATGTTGATGTTGCCCTGAGGTCTCCAGGAGACCCTTATGTCTGGTGATGTGCTGAAGGGGTATGGTGGGTGCTGCTGGAGGCAATAGGGGTCTGGCAGCTTATCTGGTGCTGAGCTGGGGTGCTAGTAGTGGTGTCTCATGCATGCTGAACCCCAGTGGGGTGTTTCTATGTTTCCCTGGGGCTACACTGAAGCACATAGAGGTCTGGCCACTGGAGGATTCCTCTTTGCCTTGGGCTACACTGAAGCATATGGTAGTTCTCAGAGCTTGAGTCTACCAGTTCTATTGGCTATGCTAAGGCACATGAGAGGTGTTGGTGTTGATAGTTGCCTGTTCCATCACACTGAGATGTACTGTCTTAAGCTTTGGGGGGTTTGTTCAGCTGTTTTCACAGATACTTCTAGGGACCTGTAAATTTTCAGTTCTCCCAAGGTGGTGTGATCAAGGGTGAGGTATTTACTCCTTCCCTGGCCTGTGCTCTGGTTTATGAGTGACCACAAGCACTCTTTACAGCCTTGGAACTGTGAAAAGGATTTCACTTCCACTACAAGCTCCATCACATCAGCACTCCTCCTCACAACAGGACTGCCACCCAGAACTGTGACCCAGATCCAAGCATGGGCAAAGCAAGAGAATCCTGTACCAGCAAAGAGATTCTTGCAATCCCCCCTCTGATCAGCCACTCAATTCCCCTTCAGTCTGTGGGTCTGAAGTTCTGGAAGTAGCCACCACCCTAGGGCTGCACTTGGGGACTGGGGCTCCACTGAGTTTCTCCCACACCTCAATCATAGACTTTTCCTACTGACTTTCTAAGTTGTCTTTGGTGTTCGTGTGTTCAGAAGTCTGGAAACCACCGCAGCTGCCCATGACTCAGTCCTTCTGAGGCCTGCTTCAGGTTCACTGAGGCCTGTTTTGCCTGCTCGCCCAGGCCAAACTATGTTCCTCTAACCACCCGGCTCAATATACCTTTTCGATCAACCATCCAGGTTGTCTTTGGATGGAAATTTGTTTCACTCTGTCTTTTTGTGGATTCTGCTGCTTTAGAATTTGTACAGAGCCATTTTTACAGATATTTGGAGGGATTTGGGGGAATAGCTCAAGCAAGTCACTGCTTTTACTTCACCATCTTGGCTCTGCCACTAATCTCTAACTATTTTTCCAAATAGTTTATATAATACTAAATTTAATTCTTCTTTAAATGTTTGGTAGAATTCATTTGTGAAATCATTTGGTCCCAAAGCTTTTTTTTTTCCTTAGGGAATTCATTGATGCTTTTTTCAATTTCTTTTTCTAAGATAGGGTTATTTAAGTATTCTAATTCATCATCTGTTACTCAGGACAATTTATTTTTTTTTATAAATATTCATCCATTTAACCTAGATTGTCAGATTTATTGCCATATAATTGGGCAAAATGTCTCCTAATTATTGTTTTAATTTCGTCTTCTTTGCTGGTTCATTCACCCCTTTCATTTTTGATACTGATAATTTGATTCTTTTTAAAAAATCAAATTAATGCTTTATTTTATTGTTTTTTTTAATAAAACCAGCTCCTAGTTTTGTTAATTAATTCAATGGTTTTCTTACTCTCAATTTTATGACCACCAAACAATCCCTGGATGCCATCCAAAGGAATATTTCAGCATATATCTCTTTCTCACTTCTTAATTTTTTGGGTGGATCATACCATTATAGTCAAATTACACCTGTGCCCTCTGTCTATGTATACTTCTTCTAACTGTTCTAATAATGATGAAGTTCTTAGAAGTTACAAATATCATCTTCCCTTATAGAAATATAAACAGTTTAACCTTATTGAGTCTCTTATAATTGCTCTTTCTTGTTTATCCTTTTTTATGTTTCTTTTAAGTCTTGTATTGAAAAGTCAAATTTTCTATTCATCTCTGGTTTTTCATCAAAAATACTTAAAAGTCTTCTATTTCATTTAATATCTATTTTCCCTTTAAAGGATTACACTCATTTTTGTGGGGAAGAAAAAGGTTATTCTTGGTTGTAATCCTAGTTACATTGCCTTCTGGAATATCATAGTCCAAGCCCTCAACTCCTTTAATATGGAAACTGTGAAATTTTGTGTGGTCTTAAGACTCTGCAATATCTTAATTGTTTCTTTCTTGTTGTTTACAATATTTTCTCCTTTGATATGATAGCTTTAGAATTTGGCTATAATATTCTTCAGAGTTTTTATTTTGGGACCACTTTCAAGAGGTGATCAGTAGATTCTTTCCATTTCTATTTTACCCTCTAGGTCTAGGAAATTAGAGAAGTTTTCCTTGATAATTTATTGAAACAATTACACTCTTTTTTATCATGGTTTTCAGGTAATCCAATAATTTCTAAATTATCCTGGATCTATTTTCCAGATGAGTTGTTCATCCAATGAGATATTTTACATTTTCTTTTCTTTTTTTTTTATTTTTGACTTTGTTTTATTGTTTCTTGATGTCTCATGGAGTCATTAGCTTCCACTTACCAAATTCTAATTTTTAAAGAATTATTTTCTTCAGTGAGCTTTTGTACCACTTTTTTTCCAGGGAGGATGTCTTACACAGTGATTTTCAAATTAAAGTTTCCTACCATTTAACAAACCAGCAAAACTAAAGAGACTTTGTCTAAAAGAGATGGATAATTAGAGTTAAGAGTAGAAATATAAACTTAATCCTAACAAATGAATCTGCTAAGAGTTATCCCTGATTTATCTGGTTTTATTTAATTAATTTATGTCATAACTATGCTGAATTCATATGCCCCTCCATGAGTAATTATAATTTCCCCTTGATCCTAGTTTTCTAAATGTAGTTCTTATTAGAATTGAACAAAATTGAATGAAGAACTAAGTTTAATTGATGCTGACAGCTCAATTAAAACCGAGTTATACCAAAGAAACTTAGACAAAGAATTTGTCAAGACTGTGAATTATTCTCAGAGCAACATCGTACCAGAGATACAATGTGACCAATAAGAAAATGAAATAATGAAATCAGGAATAATTGATGCAATCAAGTCAAGTCAATAAACATTTATAAATGCCTACTTTGTGTCAGATATTATGCCTAGCTGGGAACATAAATGCAATTATAAAAAATAAAAAGTCATTCCCTGCCTTCAAGAAGCTTACATTCTGAAGAGGGAAAATAGCACTTAAATGGGAGCTTAAAAAGTTGGAGGAGAATGTTGGAGAAGTCTGGAGAGGGTCAGAAGCTGAGCTGGAAGAGGAGGGATACCAAGAAATACTCTGTGATAGCAGCTAAGTCATTTAACTGCTCTGGCCTTTAGTTGTTTTGATGTTAAATGAGGGATTGGATTCAATTGCCCCGGAGGTCCCTTTCAGTTCTAATATATGATCTTATATTCACACAACTAAAATTAGGCATGGAACTAGAATTTTCATATAAATGTGTGTGTGTGTGTGTGTGTGTGTGTGTGTGTGTGTGTGTGTGTGAGAGAGAGAGAGAGAGAGAGAGAGAGAGAGAGAGAGAGAGAGAAAGAGAGAGACAGACAGAGAGAGACAGAGAGAGAGACAGAGAGAAAGAGAGAGAGAGAGACAGAGAGAGAGAGACAGAGAGATTTTTAAAAAAAAGTAAAGAAGTATGCATAAGATTTCACAGTTTCTGAGCTAGAAGAAGGGACCTCAGAGGTAATCTAGCCTAACCCCTTCATTTTTCAGATGAGGAAACTGAGAACAGAGAGGTCAATTGACTTGTCTAATATCACACAGTGAGTAACAGATGTGAGCTAGCATTCTGTGACTCTAGATCCTAGGTTCATTTCCACTGTACCATGCTGCCTCTCCATCCCCTCCCATCCCCTCCCACCCCCAGGGCTTATCAAACATGAATTTCAAATAGAAGACTTACCAAAAACTCTTTCTTTGCTTGTTTGTTTGTTCATTTGTTTTGGTAGGCAATCAACTGCACTCAGACTGATGGCCTGGATTGTTTATGGACCAACAATCTTTCTCAATTACAAAACAGAATATTGTAAGGAACTGTTTTCTTTCTTCACCATTAAACTATGTCACACTTGGAGCATGGTGCCCCAGAGTTAACTTAGGAGCATCTAAGATGGAATGACAGAGTAAAAGGAGTACTAGATTTGATAGCCAAGATCCAGGCTTCAAATTTTGTTGCCACTGATTCCCTATTTGACTTTAAACAAGGTTACCTAATCTCTGTCTTCCTCATTCACAAAATAAAAGGATTGAAATGATTTTCCTTTATGTTCTGGAGTCAGTGGGTTCAATCAAAAGTTCCCTGAGATCTTGAACTACTAAACAATCTTCTACTCTCCAAAACTTCATAAAATCACAGGATCTCAGCAGTGCGATTGACCCTTAACATTGATCAGGTCCAACCCCTTTCATACCGCAGATGAAGAAACAGCCCAAAGGTTAAGTGAATTGTCCAGTGTTACACAGCTTGTTGGTGACAAAGCCAGAATGGGATCCAAAGTCTTTGGGCCCACTTGCTGCATTAAAATGAGTGCTGGATTTGAAGTCAAGAGGATCTGGATAATCTGAATTTGGATAGCAATAATTATTAATAATAGCTAACATTCATATAGTGCCTACTGTGTGCCAGGCACTATGTTAAGCACTTCACAAAAATTATCTCATGAGGTCTTCACAACAACCCTGGGAAGTAGATTGTTCTCACTTTACAGCTGAATAAAATGAGGCTGAAAGAATATGTGATTTTCCCAGGGTCACATAACTATTAAGTGTCTGAAGTTTTTAATTCAGGTCTTCCAAACTCTAGTCCCTGTACTCTATCTCCTGTACCATCTAGCTGCTTTTTACATCAAAGCTTTTATAGCTCTAATTCTGTGCTTAGGGAGGTTTGGGGGGAGAGTAGGGAAAGGTGACCCTTGTCCCCCTAATAAAGTTGTCCTGAAATACAAAAAAGCAGGATTTGCAAAACACTTTATACATATTACTCTTTTTGTTTTCTCACAACAATCCTCTAAAACAAGTGCTATTATTATATTGATTTTGCAGCTGAGGAAAGTGAGGCAGATATATAGATTAAGTCTGCCTGGAACTGTCAGGAACACACAGAGTTTTGAGGCCAAACTTGAACTCGGGTCTTCCTGACTCCAGGTTCAGTGCTTTTTCTACTTCACCATCAGCTTTTAATCCTGGCACTTTCAAATCAACTCTGAGGGGCTCAATCTTTAATCTGTAAAGTAATTATAGGGTTTAGCTCTATGAATCACCAGCTCAACAAACTATGATTTGTAATCCAAAATATTCCAGTCCCTAGAAAATGAGACCAATTAACTATACTGATTAGTGACAATTAATTGGTCTTTTTTGAGAAACCTTAGTGGAAAATAGTAAGGGTGTGGCCTTAGCCATAGTCCAGAAGGAAAATTTAAATAACATTCCATGGTCCAAATAAAGAATTAACCATGTCAATAAATCCAGAGAGTTGGACCAAAATCATGAAATGAATAAAGGGAAAAGGAGGCTGAAAAATCATAGTAAGCACAGAATAGATAAGGTTTATTGGTGGTCTGATGGAGAGAGCCATGTAAGACATCAGGGAGAAAGACAGTTTTCTTCCCACCAGGTCTCCACTTAAGACATCATTCTTTCAGGATAGTCTCACTTTGGTCAGTTTTAAGGATGCAGCTTGCTAATTATAATGTATCACTCAATGTTGAGAGATATTTTCTCCAGCCGCTCTCAGAATTACTTTAGAGCAAAAAAGTCTGACTATGAGGTTTGGTAACAAAACTATATTTGAATACTTAAGAAGCACCTTTTAAGCTTCAAAGAAATTGTCTAACTTTCTGAAAATCTTTCATTTTCCTGACTGGTCTTCACTATAGGATAGGAATGACAGTTGGTATCTTTAAATGTCTTGGTGTACCTTTGACACAGCAGGATTTTGCTCTATTGCCAGTCATAGAGCTTGATACAGAGGTTATAATTTCTACTGATTTGCTTGCAATTTGTATACTGCAGCATACTCAACTTGTCATTCCACATCTGTGCATTTCAAAAATGACATTACATAATAGAAATTTATTTTTTTCAAGAGGCTGTGTCCTGGCAGTTACATCTGGAATACTCTATGGATGCAGTTTTGTTCCAATAATTTATATCAAGGACCATGGCAAAAGGAATGACAGCATATATGCAGGGTCTAGTCAATATGGTAAGACTACATGAACTGTCTTATTTTACCTTTTGAATGAACTAACTGGGGCTTTGCACTCAATGATAATAAACTAAAATAGCTAATCATAAGAGTAAATAAAACAACACTTAGATTTTATCTTGATGCTCAATCTCTCCGTCTCTCTCTCTCCTCCTCCTTCTCCTCCTGTTCCTTCTTTTTCTTCTTCTTCTAGAAATACGAGTTCATGGACACACCTATTGTTCTGGTGAGGCAGTGAGGCAGTTGAGGAAGTTAGGATATTAAGTCAGGGGTGGAAGGACAGTGGTTAGGTAGGGGCAGTGTCTGTATTGAGTCTGGGGGCCCATGATGTGGTTAAAGCCAGAGTGTGTGGTCAAATCAGGAAATGCCTGCTGTTCAGTGGGGCCCATAAGTAAGTTAGAATATTGGGGCTGGGGGCAGTTTTATTAGGATTCCATCATTCTCCCCAAAGAGCTGGGGCCCAAATTCATTTGGGAAAGTGGATGAAGGTCTCAGCTTCTGTAGCTTCTTTAGGCTGAAAAGGGGCATAGAGCTGTCCCTGCCTTGATGAGTCCTAGGGAGGAGGTTGACTGGAACCATATGCAGTGGATGATGGGTGAGGATGGGCTACCAACTGTACATGAATGGCATGTAGTCTGGAAGACATAAATCCAACAGGCAAGCTCAATATGCAGAGCCCAAATATGAGGAAAAAGAAACCAAAAGCCCCACGAAGCTATATGCTTTTGACATACAGGGTTATCTGATTTTGTTACTTTCCCAAAAATTTCCACTCTGATTCCAATTCCTTTAGGAGGATCAGATGCTATTGAGAATCTAACTCTATACGTGTAAATATAAGTAACAGCACTTTTGCAGGTAGAGGCTTTCCACCCTTTGGTTCAATAGTTATATAAATGAATTTGCTTATAAGAGATTAGCTTTACTCCGCTTTAAGTAATTAATTCCAAAATAGTGCATTTCAATAAGTTGTTTATAATAAAGCATGTTTGTACTTTTGTTCCATAAGTTATTTCCTTTAAAAAAAATTGATTGCACTGAAATTCTCTTTCCCAAGCCAAACTGAAGAAGTTTCTGATTTATTTTCAGTAATTAATACAATAACAGCTAGGTCCCTCAATCAGTTGTACCAATGTTTAATTATTCTTACATTATTTGAAACATGTAAGGACCTTATTTAATACAGATAGATAGATAGATAGATAGATAGATAGATAGATAGATAGATAGATATACACATAGGCCAAATAGCCATTTACTAAGTTGTTTAGGCTATAGAAAGAATATAATTTTAAGCCAAATAGTTCAGATCTTAAAAGGGAAAAAAAGATAACAAAATATTCACAGCAACAGTATGTCTAACAGCAAAAACCTATAAATAAATTATATCTAGTTATTAAACAGCAGATGAACAAAATGTGGTATGTGAATGCAATGGGATATCATTGGCACCATAAGAAATTAAGAGAAATACCTGATGAAAGTAGAACCAAAAGAACAATACGTACACGATCATTATAATATTGTAAATGAAGATGGCACAAAGGAGCCACACAATATGAACATAATGAACAAACACTCGTCCTTCCTTTTTATTAAAACTTGTAAACTACAAAAATGCAAAGTTCCGTAAACTATCAATTACCACTATTTGCAGCAGTTTTGCTTAACAGTTTTTGTTTTTATGGTTTTTTGTACTGTTGGATTATTTGTTAGAAAGTGATTTTGTTTCAAAATAAAATGCATAAATTTTTTTAAAAAAACTTTACATGATTATCTATACTTGTTCAAATGTGGTACTACAGTTGCATAGTCAATGAGAAAAAACTCATACCTATATTCTTGTGTTAAAAAAAGATGTTAAAATCCAGGATAAGACAATTAACTCCTCTTTCTCCTTCTCTGGCTCTCTCTCCATCTACCCCTGGATCTATATTATCAGAACTTTTAGTGTATTTTACATTCAATTAACATATCACAGTTATTTAAATGTAACCTTTTTAATGGCTTTAATATTTGTATTTTTCAGATTTGGATTATGTCTTTGCACACTTCAGTGGTATCTTTGTTACAAGCACTCTCTATTTCCTGGCCTACTGCATGATCATGAAAAATAATCCCAAAGTTTATCCTCAAGCAATATTACCAGGTATGAGTATTTAGTTTCAGGGTTTCAATTTTGTGTGTATGAGATAATGCATGTGTGTATGCATGTGTGTATACATGAATGCATATATATATGCATAAGCTTTAGCTAATCATTTTAGTTTATATGTCCTTTGCTTCAAACAAAAGCACCCCTTGAGAGTCTGCTTTGCTTTGAAAATATGCTTCTTTTCATGTTTTGACTATCTAAAATTTGACAGAATGTGCTCAGAAACTTTGAAAGCTAACATTCAATTACATGAAATGAAGGTCCTATTTATAAATTTTATCACGAAGTTCTAGTCCTTAATGGCACTAGGGCAGAGTCCTGTGATTATTAACATTGAACTACTTATTACCTTTGGTTTTTAAAAGTGAGATTCATAGGAACAAGCAAATTTCTTTACCACGCCCTTGAGTACTTAGAGAATTGATTAAAAAAACAAATTTCCTTGTTAATATATAGAAGCCACAGAATTTCAAGCTAGAAGGAAGCTCAGAGACCATGTCCAACCTACACCTGAATAACTACAACACCTCCCCAAAGCAACCATCCAGCCTTTTTGATGTTAGTTCCCTTGACATCTCATTCAACTTTCGGATAGCCCTAATCATTAGGAAATTTTTCACTATATCAAGCCATCCATTACTACTAACTCTGTCCTCTGGGACCCAGGCAGCATAAGTGTAACCACTCTTTCATGTTAGGAGCCTTCAAGAAGATAGCACTCAAGTGTTTCCTAAATCTTCTCTAATCAAAATACTCACCTAGTTACTTCAAGCTATCTTTCTATGGAATGTTCCTCAGTCTTCTCTCACCATGTTGGTCATGGCTCTCTACATGTACTATATTCTAATCTGTAAAGATCTTTTTGCAGCCCACTCTGTTAACTATCCCTTTCAGCTTTATTTTATCTGTAAGTTTAATAAGTATAATCATCTGCATTTTTCTCCAAATCAGTGATTTAAAATATTCAATACCAGAGGGCCATGCCCCAAGGGGAACACTTCCCCAGAAGCCTTCTTCCAAATTAATATCCACCCATTAATAACTCTGGGGGTGCAATTACTCCCTCAGCTCCAAATCCATCTAACTGTGGATAGGAGAGAGTTGTCTAGCCCATTACTCTATCAAGATAAAAATCTATGATAAAGAAAAACTGAGGCACAGATTTCTCAGCATTATCAATTTATTAGCAAGGCTAGCAATTGCAAAAAAAAAAGGGGGGGGGAGGATCCAAGGCTCCACAGTAGCCAAAGGGTTTACAGAGAGCATTTTTATGGTCAATAAAGAGAAACCAATCAAAATGCATATTCATTAGATTAATACATTCGTGATGTTAATGCATATTCATAGAATTTATAAGAATAAGAAAGTATAATGGGTAAGGAATAGGTCAATTTGTAACATTAGAGTTATAGGCATTCCCAGTTCCATGTGACTTTTAAATTAAAGCTCAATTTCTCATTGGCTCAGGTATCTATGATTAATGAAACAACTCATTGACAGACTGCGAGAGCACCATGGAGTATTTTGTGAATTTTCATGAGTCTAAATAAGAAATTAACTTACATACAAAAAGGAGAGCTTTAATTTAAACAGAAAAGAGAACATCTTACAAAACAAAGAACTCAGGCTCAAGAGCAGGGAAGTTAAACTCTTAACAACTTACTAATAAAAGCTAGCTTAATTTAAGTTTAATACTTCATAGCAGACCTTAGCTAAAAGTTGTCTGATTATTGAGCACCATTTTCAACTTACATTACTCAATTCTCCATCTTGTCAATTAGAACAGCATGAAAAATTTTATCAAATCCTTTGCTAAGGTCTAGGTTAAACGACATTATTTTCTAAGGTCCTTTCTAGTTCTAAAATTCTAATTTTTAATTATTTAATAATTTTCATTAAAAAAAACAAAATCAAAATGCGTTGAATAGCAGGAAAGTTCTAAAATTCTATAATTTTGTTTAATAATTTCCTTTAAAAATATAAAATCTAGAACATATTGAAATGCATTGGAGTAGAAGAGAAGTATGGAATAATGAAGATGTTGATTTCTTTAGTCATATGCTTGGGGAAACAGCATTATTTATCTCAGATTTAGAGTCAGAAGGGACTTTAGAGATCATCTAGCCCAATCCCTGCCTGCTACAGAGGAAGAAAGTGTGAGTCCCAGAGAAGTTGTGACTTATTTAAAGTCCTAAAGGCACAAAGTGACAGAGCCAGAATTAGAACCCAGATCCTCACTATATTCTCTACAGAATGCTTGCTTCATTTTAGGATATGAGAAGAATAGGAAACAGAAATACATAAAGATAAAAATGCCAAGGGACTATTCCATTTCTTTTAGCAAAAGCTCTTTACCTGTAGGGCTATTGCCTGGTTAACATGGATACCTCAGTCCTTTTAGCCAGGAAGTTTAAGTGTTAGGTTTTTATCATGTGAATAACATGGTTGAGAAGCAGCATGGTGCCAGAGGATAGCAGACCAACTCAAGTTCTGGGGAAGTCTTTCCTCTGATATACATTGACTGTTGCCCCCTGGCAATTCCCTAAGACTCTGATTTTCCAAGTCAAAAGTGGCAAATCCACAATACCCCTGAATGTGAACCAGATTCAAAAATAATTGGGAAATATTTAGCAAAATGTATAAAAATATAATCCAGCATAAATTATATTATATTTTTAAATTGCCATTATGAAACCTACAGGGATCCTGAGGTACATATGGATTAGTGCCCCCCACTTTGAGTTTGACACCACTTCTCTAAGTCTCCAATGATGATCTCTGTCAGTGGGGTGGTGGGGCTCCAAACCAGGAGCTCCCCACATCACTGAAATTGCAGGTCCAGATCAAATAAATAGTATGGTCCCAACCTTCTTTGGTTTTAACATATTTCCTATTAAATTGTTTAGATCCCTTCTTTCTTGATATATTCATGGTATGGCCCAATAATTTTTCTTCCTCTTAAATCCAACACCTCTATCTGATGCCCATATTGTACTCTCAGTCAGCTGGTAAAAGGGTAAGGAAGCAGAATCATTTGCATATTCCCAAAGAACTATAAATTCTGGTTCAAAAGCAACCCAAAGGTGCTGACAGCAAATAAAGTGATAGATATAGGGGCAGAGGTAAATTATAATAATTTCTGTTGTCTTACTACATTTCAGGGTTTTTTTCTGGAGTACTTTGGGCAATAGCTAGTTGCTGCTGGTTCATAGCTAATCATTCTCTAAGTGCTGTGGTCAGTTTTCCAATAATCACTGCAGTAAGTAAATGCATTTTTCCTCCTGAATTTTTATTTTAAAAATCAGTCTTAATTTTTGCTGCAAACAAATATTCAAATAGGTTGTGGTGTTGTCATTCAGGTTTACAAGTCTAGTAAATATCACCCTAATCAGGCTTATAAACTCCCTTTGCCTTCCTCTGAATATAACTAATTTCATTTGAGTAGGTCTGTTTATTCTGTATCCCAAGGACAAGTCTTCCTGATTCTCCTTCTAAAACATCTCTCATACATCCGTAACCTTATCTCTACTCACAAGTGACAGGACTATAATTCAAGGCTTCGCCACCTCCCTCCTAAATTATGGTAGTAGCATCCTAACCAGGCCCCCTGTTTCCTGTCTTTCTCATTTCCAAATTCATCCTCCACACAGCTAACAAAATAATCTCCTTAAAGCACAGGCTGGACCATAGCACTCCCAGCTCTATAAGCTAGAGTGGGACTTTATTGCCTCTAGGATAAAACACGAATTCCTTTGCTTAGCATATAAAGCATTCCACAGTCTAGCTCCAGTCTACCTCTCAAGACTTTTTTCACATTACTTCCACTTCATACACTCTACATTTTGGACAAACTAGCCCACTTGCTTTTCCTCATACATAACATTTTAACCTATGCCCCTATACCATCTCCGTGCCTTTGCACAAACTAATGACTCATGCCTGCAATGTTTTTCCTCATTTCTGCCTCTTAGAATCCATAGTTTCCTTCAAAATTCAGCTAAGATACCACCTCTTATAGGTAACTAAAACTCAATATGTCCAAAACAGAATTCATTATTCCTCTCCCCTCTCTAGCCCTCTTCCAAACTTCTATATTCCTGTCAAGGGCACCACCATTCTTCCAGTTACCCAGGTTTGCAACCTCAGCCCTTCAATCTCACTCATATACAATCAGTTGTCAGATCTTGTGATTCCTATCCCTACAGCAACCCTAGCGTATATATCCCCTCCCCTCCAAGCACACAGCCAACACTCTCGTTCAGATTCTCATCACTTTTAACTGAATTGTAATTGGTCTCCTATTCCAAATTTCTCCCCTTCTCTAATCTATACTCCATTCAGCTGCCAAAGTATATTTTAAGTATAGGCTCCTTTATGTCACCATTCTCCCATTCAACAAACTCCTGTTAATACAGACTCTGTATTAGCTCTGGATTCAAATATAAACTCCTCTGTTGGGCATTTAAAGGTCATCATGACCTGCATTCCTTCTGATATTCTAGTTTTCTTATACTTAGTACAGGGCTAGCTAAGCACTATTTGACTAAGACCCCTGTCCTTTTTCTGCCATCATGGTTTACCAAGGATTCAGCTCGAGGGGAAGCTTGATTTTTTCAATAGGAGAAGCAGTTTTCCTAATTCTCACATTTGTTGGCTCAACATCCTCCCACCCCAGCTATTGTAGGGCAATTCTGTGTTTGGCTCTGATCTAGAGTGTCTGCTTCTCCAATGCATGGGATTAAGGCTAACCCAGGAGTCCTTCCCATCAAACTGACAAGAGCTTGGTATAAAGATTCTACAAGTCCCAAAAATACCCTTCTACAAGACCATGCCTCATCCTCTCATGGCTTGAAGACCATCAAATCTTAGGCTCTTTTGTGACATCTGTGATTGTATCCCTTCCCTTCTTTCTACCTCTTTGGTGGTATTGATCCCCTCCCCTTTAGAAGGGTAGCTGTCAAGTGGGTTGCTCTATTTCAGAGATACCAGCTTCTACCCAGGGTAATGCCTAAGAACTTTTTTTTTTATTACCCCTGCCTCTCTTCTCTGTGAAAAATGGTCGGGTGGAAGGAAGGGAGAGAGGGAGAAATACAAAATATTACCCAGTATATCATATGAATTACCTAGTGTCTCATAAGTAGAGTCAGAAGCAGAGCATTTCCAGAGTTAGAGTCCCCAATTTGGAGCCAGAAAAACCCAAGATCAAAACTTAACGCAGGCAGTAGCTATATGATCCTGGGCAAGTCATTTAACCTTTTTCAGCCTCAATTATTCTCATCAGTAAAATGAGGATAATAATGTCATTTACCTTACAAGGTTGTGAGGCTAACATGAGATAGTATCTTTGAAGTACTATAGGAATTGCAGCTATGATGATGATTGATGATGATGAATCAGATTTAAAACAGGTCATTTTATTTCTACATAGAAAGTAATCATAAGCATAAGAGAAATCATAGTGTGCATTAATAAAGCAACTTAAACAGCATTCAGAAACTCACCTTCTAGCCAGGTGACAGGCCTATAAGGTTATGGGAAGATGTAAATTTAAGTTCCACTTCTGAGCAGTCCTGGGCAAGGCACTTCATCCCTTGGTACCTCCAAGCAACCCTCTAGGACAATAACCTGCAGAGAAGGTGCCAGCCCGGACTTGCAATGGTAGGGTTTCCTCACCTGGGAGTGCCTTATTAGACAGTGAAATCACATGTCTGGTACCTCCCTTTATCTTTATCTGATAGTTTTCATATCACAGACTCATCCCTTTTCTGTGTCTCATCTCATACTTTGTCCTGTAGTCTTACTTCATTTCATCCTTGCTATCTTCATTTTTTCCTCCTCTACTTTCATCTCTAGTTTTCTCTCCTAGCATGCTGAACTTATCTGAACTCATTCACCTGTCGTCACTTAGAGTGCCTGGCACATTTTTGCTGTTGGCCAAAGTACTGGAGTGGTTTGTCATTTCCCTCTCCAGCTCATTTTACAGATGAGGGACTGAGGCAAACAGGGGTAAGTGACTTGCCCAGGGTCACACAGTTAGTATCTCAGGACAGATTTGAGCTCAAGAAGAGGAGTCTTCCTGACTTCAGGCCTAACACTCTATCCACTGCTCCACCTAGCCACCCAAATAAATGTTTATTGAATTGAAGCAATGCCCTAGATCAATTTCAGCAGCTGTCCAAGCACCCTAAAATCACACCAGCAAAGTGAAATGCAAAAATGGGTCACTTGTCTCAGTGACAACTTAAATAAAGGAATGGATACTTCCTTTAATTATCTGAATGTGGAAGGGGAAATTCTTTTTCATTTGAATTATCCAACTACTTAATTCATCACTTCACTTGGCTCTGTATCTACCAGCCCAGCCTTAAGAAATGACCTAATGTACATATTTATTTATCATTCTTTCAGGGACCAGGACTTATAGCTGCAATGTGGGGTATCTTTGTATTTAAGGAAATAAAGGTAAGTAGAAGAAAAACTAAACCCTAGGAAAGGAGCCATTCAAAGAGAGGAGCTATTATGGGCAGCTAGGTAGTGCCATGCACCGAGCACCAGGCCTAGAGTCAGAAAGACTCTAGTTCAAATTTAACCTCAAAGACTTACTAGCTGTGTGACCTTAGGCAACTCACTTAGCTTCTGTTTGTCTCAGCTTCCTCATTTGTTAAAATGGGGCTAATAACAGCACCAACTTCCCAGGGTTGTTGTGAGGATCAGATGAGACAGTAATTGTAAAGTGCCTAGCATAATATATGCACATAGTAAGTGCTATACAAATGTGAGCTACTCTTATTATTACTAGAGCTATAATTTAGTATCGCTTTCTAAAGACTTACATAGAACAATGAATGGTCAGGAGAGGTGACATTCCAAATTATATGTTCAAAATCTCACCCCCGTAAATAGGGAGATTCAAACGGAATTTGTGGTTGTGAATCTTCGGTTTTTCAGTTGAAAAAAAAAATCACTGGTGAGCTTCCATTCTTTTGAAGTGTTTTTCGTGGCTACATGTCACATATCTAAAAAAAAAAAGGAAGAAAAAATTCTTTAGAAGGGTGTTGTATATTATGGTAGGATCAGGAAAAGAATATTTTGGCCTCCCAAGAGAAGAAAATTCCATGGGGCAAGCTGGATGACTGAGTATAAAGTAGCATGTTTGAGGCTTTTTTGCTTATGCCTCCCATGAACAACCTTCTCAATACTGTAGGTTGAATTTTGTAATATTATAGGTAAAGTCAAGTCATATTAATAGGTGACTAATATCCCTGGAAGGACCTGAGTAGGGGGTTGGAGGGGGTGGAATTCCTCTACCAAATAATAGAATGGTCCAAATGCTATTTTTTTTAATCTTGTTTTATCCACAAAACAAAATGGCAGAATAGGTAGAATGAGTCAGGAAGGCGTGTTCATATCCCACCTCTGTCACTAGCTGTGTGACCACAGGCAAAGTCATAACCTTGCTGAACCTCAGGCAGCTCTCTCCAAGACCATAACTTATGGACATTATTGGTGGAAGGAGTTTCCCATGCTGGCAAAATCTCAGGTCCTTCTCAAGTTGACATATCCCCATGCCCCACAATAGCAATGTCAGAAATGAAAATGGAGCCCATTTTGGAACTCTTCACCATGTGCCCCAATCTGTAATCAAAGGCGGGAGGGGGGAGGGGGGCTGGAATCCTTTCAAATACTCTGTACACTATTTCAGAGTAGGTTTATAGAATGCAACATAAATACAAAAATGTTGTACCAAAAAAGCAATAGCTAAGATATTCTCCTCCTTAATATGAACTGTAATACAAAGCAGGCCTGGTTTTAATAAGCACCGATGCTATCTCTTTGTTCTGGGGGCTGTAAAGTGAATTTGTATAACTGGCTGATCCTCAACATGATAAATCACTTCAAGGCTTTTTAAGAAATCATTTCATTCCTGCTAAATGAGAAGGAATAGCGTTTGGCTAATATGGGCAAGATTCTTGGGTTTAAGCAAACAAAAGAAGCTATTATTAAGAAAGCTACTTGGAGGGCAATCCAATTTTTCTTTTTAAGTACACAGAAATATGCTAATAGGATTTCCAACCTGGACTATTTTCTTGCACATGGTTCTTATTTCTTTGTTAGACCGATTTATCTCACAAAGTAACTCCATGCCCCAAATCAATTGCAAAGCTCTGGGAGAAGGATCTATCTACCTGACAGTGAATTTCTTATTAAAGTCGCTGGCATCAGGGGGCAGCTAGGTGGTGCAATGGATAGAGCACTGGCCCTGGAGTCAGAAGGACCCGAGTTCAAATCCAGTCTCAGACCAAACACTTGACACTAGCTGTGTGACCCTGGGCAAGTCACCTAACTCCATTGCTAGCAAAAAATTTAAAAAATAAAATAAGATATATGGTATCTAATAGCCCTGGAGAAGGTGTTAAAGGCCTTAGGATGACATGAGAAAGTGAGATATTAAGAACAATACCCACAAAGGTATGGCCAAAATGTAAAGGTTGCAAAGGAGACATTTCAAAATTAGTTTGGTTACTATTAGAGTAGCAAAAGAAAGAAAATTAAAATATCTGCACCTGGACCCAAAGATATCACTTAAGAACAGGTACTGCTTAAAAGTTAGACCTCATAAGGAGTCCTTGGTGCACAGAAATCCAGCTCCTGCCTATATACTAAGGGCCTTGAAAAAGTTGAAATCATATGCGAGGAGATGCCCAGAGCAAGAATGGGATACCTACTCTGTTCATTGTTTAGTACGTAGGATTTAGGTTGGCTATAAGAAAAAAATTCTGAGTGAGCATTGGAAAACATCAAAATGGGTTACCTATAATTCTTTTTTAAAAGATAGATTTTCATGGAGACCTTGGGAGACACAATAGTGTAGTGAATAGATAGCTGGCCTCAAAGCCTGGAAGACTTAAATTCAGATCCTGCCCCATAACACACATATGACATATGGCATATGACACACACTGGGCAAATCAATTAATGCTTCAGAGCTCTACGTCAATGGTGCCTAACTCAAATAGAAAAGGGAGCCAATAAACCAGATAAGGATCCCTGGGGCTACACAGTGACCTAGAAAATTACGTATTAACATTATCTATTATAATTTTATTTATTTTGGTAAATATTTGGTAAATATTTCCCAATTACATTTTAATCCTGTTCCAAATCCAGGCTGCCCATTTGATACCTCTGCTCTGTTCTAGGCAACTCTTTAAATATTTGAGTTGCAGAGAAGGTACTAACCTGCATTAGGAGAGGGACTTCCCTCACCTGGGAGTTCCCTATGCCAATGAAATCACAAGTCCAGTCCCTATCCCTATTCAGAAAAAATTAGGGAGTAGGTCTCCCTGAAAGCTGAGGAATATACCAAAATGATCTCTCAGGGCCCCATAAAACCTTAAAAGTCTCTAATTTGATAAATAAATTGCTGGTGATTCCCAGGCACATCCAAATGTGCCTAACAACCTCTTGAAAGGTGACTGAAAGAAATATTTCAAATACCTCACAGCTACGTAGACACAAGAGTGAAACCACTGCTTCTAACAGGGCTTCAAAGGGGATCTGTCGTTGTCAACAAATGCAGCCTATTTAGTGGGAGCCAGCTTGACTTAGTGAAGGGAACGTGCCTTGGCATCAAAAAGACCAGGGTTCAAGGCCTTCCTCTGACACAGTCCAGCTGTGCAGCCAAGAAATATTCCATATGCCCTCTCCATGCCCCCCCAGGCAATTCTCAAAGGCTGGAAGTTACCGATTTGTGATTGGTCAGCCTCAGTTGGATATACCTCAGGAGCTGCCTGTACTCATAAAATCACAGACCTAGACCCAAACAAAAAACCACTCACAGATCTTAGCCTTCACCTGTGGCTGTGGACTTCACAGGAGAAATTATCTGTCTTAACGTTCCTAGGGCTCCAATCTATTTTGTGGTGGTGTTGTTTAAAGCAAACTTTGAAAAAGTGGAGGATTTGGATAATTCTCTTCTCTATTGAAAAAGACAGAGGCTTCCATGTATGATCAAACCCCATACATTAACAACCAGAATAGGTTTTCCTGTGCATTTGATGGTAGGCATTAGTGCCTGGAAGACGAATTCATGTATTCAGTACGGTTTTGCTGCATATTACATCTGCTTTTACTCTGAGAAGTTTGCTTTGGAATCTTACATTTGACAACTTTTGGTTTGTTTGTTTTTTGGAGAGAACGTTTTAGTCAAGTTGTTCAGAGGAGACTGACTTCTAGGTCCAAAAGTACTGGTGGTGGTAATGGCTCCAACCCCATGCTACCTGGTCTGTGTAGGGAGGAGTACTAAGTGCTCAGGTAGCAAACCCCTCGGGGGCACAGGCGGCCAAAAGCAAAATCCTCGAACAGCCTGTCACAGTGTGCCACCAAAAAGCTCTTTGTGGGACGTTAGGAACATTCGGACGCAAACTGAGGTGAGTTGCTCCGCCCTGAGTACCTACTCCCTAAATCTATTTTTCTTACATAAAGTTCTTATCTTGCTTTTTTGATTAAAAAAATCCTTTGCCAGTTCCCTATTAGCCATAAGATAAAGTTCAAGCTCATTAGCTTGGCATCCAGAGGATCATAGCTTTGGAGCTAGAAAGGACTTTAGGGGCCTCCGAAGCACAGAGGAGAAACTGAGGCACAGAGAATTTAAGCTCTTGCCCAGGATCACACAGTTAGTATCTGAGGTGGAATTGGAATTCAGGTCTTCCTGACTCAATGGTCACTTGACAGTAAACTATACCATACTGCCCTGCATTTGGTGGCATTTTATATGATCTAGCAATGCTCTCCCTTTCCAGATTTATCTCATGCTAGTTCCCACTGTGTGCTCTTTCTTCCAAACAAACTGGACCAACTTATAGTCTTTTCCATCTGTACAGCTTAGGTTTGCACATATCATTCCTCGTACCTTGAATCTCCCCTATCCATCATATCATTCCCTTTTGAAATTCTTTCTATCCTTAAAGGCCTAACTCACAGATCATCTCATCTAGGAAATCTTCCCTGACCCTTTAGGATCTTTCCTTAATACAAACTTATATAAAGCTTTGTACACTGTGTGTGTTTTTCTTGAAATTTTTCTGCACCATAATTATAGCATATTTATTGTATAGTATTTTACATTTCTTTAGGTGTCATTTTCCCCACTATCTCCAATGGATCGTAAGCTCCAAGAGGAAAAGGACATCTCTTTATTATTTTGTATCTTCCCAAAATCCTTGTCTTTGTATATAAGGGACTGTTGAATAAATCTATTGCTTTTTTTTAATATAAATTTATTTATTTTTAGTTTTCAACATTCACTTCCACAAAGTTTTGAGTTCCCAATTTTCCCCCATCTCCCCCCTCCCCCCACCCCAAGATGGCATGCATTCTGAATATCCCTTCCCTTAGTCTGTCCTCTCTTCTATCTATCTCCCCTTCTCTTATCCCCTCCCCCTTCTATTTTCCTATAGAGC